AGAACTGCCTTTCTCCTGCCATGTTTAGCAGAAGCATTCTGTTGAATTCTTTTTCAGTAAGTGGATGGAGGACTCACACCCATTTCACTATTGCTCTCTTTTCTTACAGGGCATGGAAGAGGTATGGAAAGGACAAAATCATAGCTGAAGGAATGGTGATGCTCAGCCCTCCTCCCCTACAAGCAGAAGGCTCAGGGAAAGCCCCCAGTCCTGCCTCCTGCATGGTCTGTGAACACAGCCCAGATCCCCACATTCTGGGAGGTTCCCCAAGTTGTGCTGTCCACTGAACACTGGAAAAAGCAAGCTGTCAAATTATGAATAATATTAATAAATATCAGCTGTGTGTGACTGAAAGCAGGCTCTAGTTGTTGCAATGTTTTGGTCTTTTCTTTCTCTATCTGCAAAGTAGCCCAGGATAGCCAGGCCTCTATGGATCCACAAAGGTAATTAAGGAGGCCTGAGACCTATTTTGTAAATTTACAAAATAGAAACAGTTTTCCTTCAAAGCTGCAGAGGCTAACTAAAGCCTCAAGCTTTTTTGGTCTGTTGTTAGTAATATTGGCTAGCTATGTGCCTATTAGGAGCTTTTATTATTTTACAGTTAGTTTAGTGTCATAAGAATCTTTTTTGGGGGGGGGTACTAGGGATGAACTCAGGGGCACTCAACCACTAAGCCACATCCCCAGCCCTATTTTGTATTTTTATTTGGAGACAGGGTCTCACTGAGTTGCTCAGTGCCTCACCATTGCCGAGGCTGGCTTTGAACTCGTGATCCTCTTGCCTCAGTCTCCTGAGCCGCTGGGATTACAGGTGTACCATCACACCCAGCTCATAAGAATGACCTTTTAAAACTTGGGTTCCTTAGGCAAAAATAAAGGAATCCTTTATGCTGAAAAGTATAAGAATCCTCTGAGTGATTATACCTATAGATACTGAACTCCTTTCTCCAGCATTTGGACTCTCCAGGGAATGAACAGAGAATACCATCCAAAACAAATAGGAATCAGTTCTTTAACCTCCACTGATGTTTATTCTCCTTATATTTAGAGCTACACCAGTGTGCAAAATCAACAGGAATATTTCTGTTCTCTGTGCATGCATCCAATAGGCAGGGCACTAGCAGCCTGCCTGAAGAGTAGGAACTGAATTTCACTATGAGGACTGATGCTTGTTGAAAGACAGGGGTTAAGCCTCTGGCCATCAATTTCCTTTGGAACCAGAGAGGAAAATGGCCCATCTTATCAGGTCTTTTTCCATGCCTGTTAGTGTTGCTCTGACCCTTCTCTGAGAGCCAGAAATGGCTAATTTTGGATTATCTGTGCCCTAATACCAAGGCATCCAATTGTGTAGGCTATGGAAACATGACTAAATTAACAGTCATCCAGCTTCATATCCAGTGTGAGTTTCTGAAGAGATGGCTTCATCTCTTCCTGTTTACTGACATATTAGACTCTGAGGAAGAATCCAATCTAATTTATAGCACACTACACAATTGAAGCAAAGGGAATGACAGGGGTATGTGTACCAATACCCTACTTCATCAGGCTTGGTGAGAGAGACTGTAGGAAATTGGTTCACCAAGAGAATTCTACCATGAAGCAACCACCATGAGTTTATATATGTTTATTTGTATATAGTAATTAAATATATCAATATGCACCTTTCCATTGAGTAGCTTCATGGGTCGTGGCCAACATAGAACTTGGACAGGAAATCCTTTGGCCTGGGTGCTTCTGTTTCATGGAAGAACCGCATAACATGTGTCCGCTGCTTCCACACTTTTATTGTTTCTTCCAATTCCATCTTTCCCTACACAAGTAAGAGGAGAGGTGGTTAAGGTGAAGGAACACAATACTGAAGTCCTGGATTCTATTCTGTGCTTGGCACTGACCTGAATGACCTTGGACAAATACATACCCCGTGAGGTAGTTTTTGTATGTGGAAACTGAAGTGGGACTAAATCATTTTGGAAGACTTTCAGACAGTCACCTCTACAACTGACTGCTTTATGTTTCTGCTTAACATCTCTCCTGGGTGACTTATTGATCCATACTGAAGCTCCTATTGATACCAATATAACTGAACAGGAAGACAGAATCAGGCCCAGAATTTGACTCCCATTTACACAGGACTCACACCCAGTTTGTCTGCCTTGTCCAGCTGTTAAGCTGGTGTCCAGGTAAAGCAGTAACTTCCAGGGATGTTGGTTACAAAGAGCTCAAACCTCCTCCTATATATATTTTTTGTTTGGTTGGTTGGCTTTTGCAGTACTGGAGATTGAACCCAGGAGTGCTCTACCACTAAGCTACGTCACCAGCACTTCTTAAAATTTTTGAGACAGGTCTCATTTAGTTACCCAGGCAGGCTTCAATTTGTGATCCTCCTGCTTCAGCCTCCCACATTGGTGATTCTTGGTTTTAAAATGGAACCCCCCAGTAGATTTTCCCTTCAGCAATCTTAGTCTATTCAATCAGGGGATAACCTCCAAGTTCAAGTACTCCTCTGAAACAGCAATAGTTGCTGAACCAGTAGTTACTTTTTTAACTTGGAGGCAAAATGTTCATCTGGGGAAACTGAAAACGCCTGGGACAAGTTGGCCAGTCCTTTAAGCTGGTCCGGGAAGGGCAGTTACCTTAATGACCAGAAGATCAACCACCCTGGGGTCTGTGACGTGGGCATTCTTCATAAACATTTCTCGGACTTTATCCCGTCCCTGTTTCACAGTGATGTCTAGCTGGAATAAGTGCACTAAAGAGAAAACAAGATTTGGGATAGAAATTACACAGCTAAAATAGTTTTTAAAAACTTAAGTCAGTAGATGTTCACTGAACACATACAGATTGTGCATTCATTCCGTGCACCAAACGTCAGCCTAACTAACCCTCAGCTAGTTGCTTGAGGACGTGAGGATGTGTGAGACATGGTTCAATGAGTTTACATTTTGTTTCAGGAGACAAGACCACAGCATTTGAAGAAACAGTATGTAGCACAGTTGAAGAGTGTGATCAACATGGGTTCAAATCCCAGCTGCTGTTGTCAGCTACGTGATTCTGTGTAAGTTAACAACTTTGTGCTTGAGTCTGTCAGTGAAGTGAGACAACAAGACAATAAGATGCATAACTCTA